TGGGCCCCATCCTCCGGAAATTCTGTTTCTTTGTTATGGGGTGGGGCCACAACATTAGTAACAAAGAAACAGAATTTCCGGAGGATGAGGCCCAGAAATCAGGATTTTATAAAGATTCCCAGGTGATTCTAATGTGCAGCCAAGTTTGAGAACCACTGCCCTAATGCAAGGGTGGGGACCCCTTTTTTTTTTCTGCCAAGGACTGTTTAGATATTTATAACATCATTCACTTAATATAAATATATGTTGGTATGATAAAAGCTCCTAGATTTATTGAATTTCAAGTTTCACCTGCAGTTGCCTTGGCAGGGCCAGACCAAATGATTTTGTGAGCCTTGTATGGCCTGCAGGCCAGAAGTTCCCCACCTTTGCCCTAATGGGATGACACTCAGGGAACCTAGGGTTGATGTATCTTGCATGTGGGAGAGACAATGGAGAGCAGAATGGACAAGCCCTAGGGTGACGCCCCCTGCTGGTGCTCCCAGCTTTGAGTAATTCCCTTTCTATTAGCGAGGGCAGGACCTGTGCTTGCTTCTAACCAATAGGACATGGCAGAGGTGATGGGCTGTCACTCCCACGGCTATGTTCTACATGATACAGCATTAGTACTGGAATATCATTTTGTGATTCTGTTATGGTGAATACGTAAGATTCCAAACAGAGTGGCTCTTGCTCTTCCGAGGCCTTGAAGAAGCAAGCACTCTGAGTTCCACAGAGAGGAAGTGAATTCCGCCCACAACCTAGAGGAGCTGGGAAGTGGATGCTTCCCCAGTCACGCCTCCAGAGGGCAGTGCAGCCCAGCTGATGGCAGTCTGGGAGCCCTTGAGCAGAGGGACCCAGTTAAGCCTGTCTCCACTCCAGACTCAGGGAAACTGTGAGATAATAAATGCGTATTCCTTTAAGCCATGAAGTTTGTGGTAATTTGTTATGCAGCAATGAAAAACTAATACAAAGATTCTCAAAAGGAAGTGGATTATGTGATGATAGCAAATGCTTAGATTCATGCCATCTCAGGCACAGTTTTTTTTTCATGGACATTTTAATGTTATTGGTAATAGCAGGAGCATTCAAACACTTGGACAGTGATGTGCTGCTTGAAAATGATCAAAGTATTGATGAATTGCCTTCTCACTAGTTTATACCGGGCAACAATATAATGCTTATATTTACTAATACAAGACAAAAATGATAAAAATTCTAGGATTTGACAGTGCCACAAAGAAGCCTACAGTGGCCATCTTAGTGCCCCAATTTCTATAAGATGCTAAATGAGAGTAAAATTAAATCTTTCAAGTTCCACGCATGTGTGGGAGTCACAGAGAGAGCCGCATGCTTTTTCTTTTGATCTAGAAGGGTTATTTTCAGTTAGGTCACCCCTGCCAGGAGAGAAGCGCTGGGGCAAATAAGGCACTCCTGACAATATCATCTCCCTTTATATAGAATTTCCCAGTTCTCAAAGCACCACCATCCTCATTTGACAAGTTCAGCTGACAGGAGGTCAGGACAGGCCTCTCAGGAGAAACCAACAGAAGTCGGCAGAGAAGCTTGTGATCTGGAGGTTTGCTGTTTAACTTCACATACGATCAGCCCAAGGAGCAGCCAGGCCACCCTGGAGACAGGTGAGCAGCACGCATTTGGACATTTACTCATTTGCTTCTTGGTGCACACTTTCATTGACACTTCTTGTTTAAATGTTCTGTCTACTTCACGTGAGAAAACTGTGGATCAAGCGCATAATGAAAGACTCTGCAGAAGGCCCTGAGTCCTCCATGACTACAAAATAAAGTCATATGGCATGCAATTTAAAGAAAATTCTGAATAGGAACAGCTGAAAACCTGAGTCAATATAGAAGAGAGAGTTGGTTACAATTGCAGATTTCCATTCAGAACCAGCCTGTCCGAAGCTCACAGATATTGGAAAACTGGCATTTGGCCAAGACATAAGCCATTGTACCCTTCTTCCATTGACTGCTTTTATGTCATTATCTCTTGTCTCAGTTTTCCTTGTTCCTTCTATTTTATCTTATTTTTTAAAAATATATTTTATTGCCCTGACCAGTTTGGCTCACTGGATAGAGTGTCGGCCTGGGGACTGAAGGGTCCCAGGTTCGATTCCAGTCAAGGGCATGTACCTTGGTTGTGGGCACATCCCCAGGAGGAGGTGTGCAGGAGGCAGATGATATGCCCTTGACCAGAATTTAACCTGGGACCCTTCAGTCTGCAGGCCGATGCTCTATCCACTGAGCCAAACCAGCTAGGGTTCCTTGTTTCTTTTAAGTAAGGACAACTGGACCAAATTAGAATTGTTGGTTCTACTTAACTTAAATAACTGTGCCAAAATGGCTTTAAATCTGCACAATTCTATGTGTATACTCCTTTCTGTTGATTCATTCATAGCTTCTTACTTCAATGATTGTTCTAGCTTCTGATATATATTCTGCATGGTTTATAATATGTAATTCTCAGTGACTTGGACGATTTCTCCAGAGAAGACACTTCCAAACAGTGGGATCATCCAATCTACATGGTATACTTTGGCCCCTTAAACATTTTACTTTCCCTTTTCTAAGAGGCTGGTCGAGTCAATAGGATTCTCTGGAACCACCAATGCGTCCAAGAGCTGCCAACAGTGCTAACTACACTCATAAGAGATTTGGAAAGAGAGAGGACCAGTCTGAAGAAGTTTGGTGAGAGTATGAGGTACAGTTAAAAGCATTTGAGTAACTCTACTTTTCTGGAGGAATTCAACCTAGTTGACCATTGTTTGTCATTTCTGTCTGGTTTTATTTATTTTTTTTCACAGGTAAAACTGTGCCTGAAGTCTTATTTGCAGAAATACAGGACTGGATCTATACTCAAGATGTATTTTCCAGTCATCCCCCAGATGGCATTTAAGCATCTATAACAAATATTTTCATGTCATATGGACTGGATGCTCACACATTTGGCATTAGGGGTAGAAAGCGATAAAGTGAGTAAGAGCATCACGGGGCTCAGGAACTCAGCACTTAGCAAACCTTGCTCCAACTCTCAGTGGGGCTTTTAAATTCTGTCATAGAGGATAATAAGCCAGCTCATCCAGAAGATGGAAAAAATGAGCTAAATGGTCCTTTTAAGTACTACGTCCACTGAGCATGGTGGATTACCACTGAGCTTCCTCCTTCACTGCTCGCCAGGACCTGTTATGGCCTGGACAAGTGAAAAACCATGGTGAAATAAATGATACCCTGTCCTCACCCAATAATAAACATGCTCTCTAAAAGAGAGCACTTTTCCTGGGCCTTCTGCTAGAATGTTACCTTCTGCTAGAATGTTACCCTAAGACTCTAGAATGTTCTATCCTTCTAGAATGTTCCTCATCAAATGATAACTGTACTCAAGGTAGTTATTTGGGCATTTTTCCTTTATCATGATGACCAAGAGCAGAGGACTTTTCTGGGTATACTGAACACTCCATTTTCTAGTTTTTATAAAAACTTGGGATATGAGAAAACTAATGAAACCAAAAAAGGAAATTCTCTCCAATCCCTACTTCTTTTCATATGTGGCCCACCCTATTATGTGGTCATTAATTAAGCATGAGCCTTCTCTTGGTGGGGGGATATGCTCAAATAGTAAGATATTTCCTATTATTAATCAGTAGAGTTGGTTAATTAGTCAGTTTCTATTAACTCTCAATCAATACCTGTTTAAAATGGAAGGTCCTTTTGTTCCTAAATATTTACCTTTTCAAATATCCATCTTTGTATATTTTACATTTATCTGGCTTAAAAAGTTTCAAAACCCTATCAGAAAATGAAATTTACAAGGTACAGGATCAGAAGACACTGCATTGATCTTTAGGTAGAACATACTCACATATTCAATACCAGAACAGATGACCAAGAAGATGCACAAATAATGGAATTGCAATTCTAATTTAGTCAGCTCAGATGACACCTTATAAATAAGCTTTTCCCATAATTTATTAACTATGATCCTACTTTGCATCCTTTAAAAGAATGCATCCACTTTTGATTTGCCTATCATTTAAATACAATCTAGTCAATATTCATGTTAACATAGAATAAGGTATTCATGTTGCTCAGATGTCTACTAATATAATGAGCAAGAGATATAGAATAGAATCTGATCTATTGGGATAGCATAATGAAAAATTCAGAAATGTTTAACTACCCTAGGGAGCTTTTGGGGCAATTACTTGATGATCTATTGAATTCTTATTCTGAGGTACAGAAGAAAACTGCAATGGCTGCATTTTCTCTGTAGAAACTTAATGTGCCTGAAATTTATTGGATCTGAGTTCTGCTTTAACACAATTATTTTCATGACAATTTCTTGCCAAAAAATCTACTAGCCATTTCTTTAGGGTAATTATATCTTATTCCATGACTCAAATGATTCACTTTTATTTAAAATAGCTATTTCTTAAAGTATAGCAACAACTTTGAACATATATGTATGCATACATATGTAAATATATGATTACATATATAAAACTTGTATATGTGTATATCTATGCATGTGTGTATATATGCATATGTATAAAATTATTTATTTTAAAATACGTTAATACTAAATTTTATATAAGGATTCAAACATTCGGAGGGCAAGTGCAAAACAACAAAAGATTGTCTAATATAATGTTTAATCAAAAGTTATTGCCAATATTTACCAGAAGGGGTGGGTAATATTCTTCAATATAAAGATTAGCAAACATCACTTGAAGTGCAATAAACATTTCCGATTTTGTGGTTGTACTTTATGTGTCTGATTTAAAAAAAGATCTCACATGTAAAAGCTGAGGATCCTTTGCATGTGCTGCAATTTACAGTAAGTGGTGAGCACTATAATCATTGAAAAATAATTATGGCTAATCTGTGGCTATTTCAAAACAAATACACTGCGTAGGCATCTTATACTTTGCCTTTAAAGATGAGACGCTTCATCAAATGACAACCTGCTTCTTACGTCAACTTAAAGCCAAATCCTCGTCATACCTTCATGGGAGCCAGCTGGATGGGTGTGATGCATGACGGGTCCACCATGGGCTTCGGCCTGTTGGCCGTATCTGCCAACAGACTATGCCACTGCTGAGGCAGGCCGGTGAATTTCTGTTCCTGTGGATCAAACCCTGTGTGAACCCTGTGTTCAAAGTTGGATGGACCAGAGATTTCAATCTTTTTCTTTTTCTTTCCAAACATGATGCAAAGACCTGAGAAAGGCAAACAGAAAAGAGGCAGCTGTTTATCTGTTGCCAGCAGAAGACCACAAAGAAATGATTAATTTGTCCAGAGTTACATCTTTTCAGTAGTGCCTCTATATACCAGCTACAAAATAATGAAAGTTGGGTTTTCAGGGTATGTAACTTGCTGTAGCCCATGGGACAACTGAAACCACAGTGACACTAGGATGAAACGTGCTTGCACATGGGGGCTTTCCCTCCTGCTGCTCTGGGAACCATTGCCAGCATGAGAGACAGGTCATCCTGTGGGAGATGACAGACCATGTGGCCCAGGCACCCGTCAGGCCAGCAGCCACCAGCCCGGGGGGCAGCAGCTGGCCACTAGGAGCCCACACAAACCAGCAGAAGAACCACCCAGACGAGCTGGACTCAAAGTACCGACCTACAGAATCAGGGCACAAATAAATGGCTTTGCTTTAGGTCATTATACTTTGGGGTAAATTGTTGCGTGGAAAAAAGCTAACTGTTAGAGGAATGCAAAAACCTGATTATTTTCCCATTTTTCTCTTTGTTTTTGCTGCTTCACAGTCTCAAGTAACAATGTCCAATCGGTAGCTATATTAGCTGTTACACAATCATGTTACCTCAGAAGAGTCTTGGCTATTACACTCCTGTCACGGTGGTTGAGGGCCTGCAATGTTTTTAGTGGCCAGGAAATGATACCAAATAAGTAAGCGGCTCTGTAAACCATCTCTCCGTGTATTTAGTGAAAATAAAAATACATTGGAAAATATAATTTGGTCATGTGTTGGCTGAGTCCACTTGACATTTAAGTAAACTTTATGACCATCTTTTTTAAAACAACAATTTAGAAAAATCATTTTAGAAGAGTTCTTTTGCATGCATTCATATCCGAGCAAGCACTGAAAATGCTAAGCCAAGTGTTTTTAGAACCAGAACAGAAATGTCTTACTATCCCCTTCCTGATTATGAATTTCCCAGTGGTTGCTATGCCATTCAAGTGAGAGTATAAAAAAGAAAATATTAATGAATTAATATTGTTCTTGTTTTTCAATAAGACACTTGTAGTGAGGAAACCCACAGGTGAATTAATTTACCTATGTTGCATTCTGTGATACTATCCACCTGTAACCTAAATGCTAACAAATACCGTTCAATAGTCCAATAAGTTTGAGTTAAAGAGTTATAGAGGAAGCAAGTGAAAAGGAAAATATACAACAGTTCCAACTCCTACAGCAACAATCCTGTGAAGCTGACACTAAATGCAGAGAGAGACTCTCCATGCTGTAGTGGCAGCCCCCAGGGATGGCCATTACTCTGAGAGCAGTGAGGACCCCACACTCAGGGGAAAGATGGACAAAGTCCTGGTGTTGGGGATGCCTCCTTCTCTCTGATGTGACTCTGCCTGTCCCTGGCATGGTGCGAAATGTCCAGTGTGTATGACCTCACTGAAAATTCACCACAGCCCTTGATTTGGGGTCCCCAACACCACCCAGGTTTCATTTGCTCAGAGAACTCACAGGACCCAGCGTATGGTCATGTTCATGGCTGTGATTTATTACAGTGAAAGGACACAGAGCAAAACCGGTGATGGGAAAGGGTGTGTGGGATGAGTCTGGAGGGAGGCAGGCACAGCTCGCAAGGGTCCTCTCCCGTGGACTCACACGGGACGGGACTAATGCCTCCAGCCCTGAACGGTGACAGCACGTGTGGAATGAGGTCTGCCAGGGAAGCTCATAGAGGCTGGGTCAGTGATGGCGAATCTTTTGAGCTCGGCGTGTCAGCATTTTGAAAACCCTAACTTAACTCTGGTGCCGTGTCACATATAGAAATTTTTTGATATTTGCAACCATAGTGAAACAAAGACTTATATTTTTGATATTTATTTTATATATTTAAATGACATTTAACAAAGAAAAATCAACCAAAAAAATGAGTTCGCGTGTCACCTCTGACACGCGTGTCATAGGTTCGCCACATACTAACCCTGACAAGCTCAGGGCAGGCCTGCATGGCAGCCTCACACACTCAGAGACCTAAAGTAACCACATGGTCTGAAATGAAAACTTCCTAACTAAAAGTGAGTCATGGTGGGTAGTCAAGGCCTAGGCCAGTACCTTCCTTGACAAAGGTTGATCTCTACTTAACTGAGCCTGTCTATTGTCATATTTCATCTACAATAACATACTTTTGGAAAGTCAGCCTCCTGGGGCAGAATCTCCCACCAGAGCACAGAATCCCTCATTGTTATCTTGCTCTCTGCAAACCATCTCTATGTGCTGTAAATGCTAGTTGTTAACTCTCCTGTACCCACCAATGTAGAAGAGTTATGTGCCTATCAGCTTTACTCCTTATCCAATCTCCGAGATTTCCCTGCTTTTCTTTATCCCGCCTCCCTAGACTACCCGCAATGAATTTCACCTAACTCCAGACTTGATTCTTAAGGTCTGGTATTGACTGTTAGATTGCATGCATCAGCAGTATGAGATTACATTCACTTTCAGTGAATTTTAGGCAAAATCAAGAATCGTGTACTTGGAACCAGCCTGGGATGCACAGGTGGGCCGGTTGGGTGGATGGGTAGGGGGCTTCTAGAGCCTGTGTGACATCACAAAGCAGCAGGAAATCTGAAGATGAACAACAAAACGAATGTCACCTTGCAAGATGTAAGCTCTTAAAAAAAAAGATTATTCTAAAGAAGCCCATTACAACAAAAAGAGAAAGACAAACTGAGAAAACCAAAAACTGGAATAGAAAGGCAACATAATCATAATATAATTCTTGGCTCATCAGTAAGCAGTGACAAAAATCACAAAACATAAGGACCATTTACTGCTATAACCAAAAACAGCCAAAAGAATTATATTGAAAAAATAGAGAAAGTGGGCAGATAACATAATAAAGCTAAATTCTATCTATTGCAGCGGAAAATAAAACGGTGGAGAGTCTTAAATTTTATATAGCTGTGTATATATACTTGGGCCCATAAGTAAAAAACTGGAAAAAAAATGGCCCAAACTGAAAAAATATATGGTGGCCTCTGGGAAGCAGAACTTGGAGTTATCACAGGGCAGGTCAGGGAACCACAAGATTTCTTACACTTGTTTTGGTAAACCACCTGTGGTATTTTATGTCCTAAAATATTTTCAAATCAATTGAAAGCAAAGCACTTGTTAAAATTAACATACATCAGAATACTAATATATTCAAATAAAACTAAAAATCCATCCAATAGATTGATGTTCAGATGACGATTGCAGCTTCCAAATGGCACTAGCCCATTTTGGTGAGAAGTGGCAGTTGAGAGTCTGAATGTTCATTAAGGTTCATTATAATCATGGGTACATTTCTAATCCTGCACCCTTTTCACCCTTGTTTCTATTCTACATTACTTGCTATAGGTTTTGAGTGTTTGCAAACTTACCTAATTCTGTGGTAGCTAAATCCACTGAAAGGGATTTATAATTGGATGAGCAGATGGAGGCATGGAAAGAAACTGCATATGACAGATAAAACATAAACAAATGTCCCCTATTTCTCAACTCTCTAGAATGTCTCTTAGCCATAGGTCCTCAGCTTATGGGATAAGCATTGTATAAGTCAGAGTTCTCTCAAGAAACACAGCCAACAGGACTTAGTATAGGAATTGGCTAATGTGGTTATGTTGGCCAAGATGTCCCATGATCTGCCTTCTACCATCTGGAGAACCAGAAAAGATAGTAGTTAATTCAGCCGAGACCATAGGTCTGAGAATCAGGGGTAATGGTGTCAGTTCGGTTCTGAGTCTGAAAACATGAGAACCAGGAGCATCAAAGTCCAAGGGCAGAGGACGGATGTCTCAGTTCAAGCAGGGAGAGAGCAAATTCATCTTTCCTTTCTCTTTTTGTTCTATTTGGGCCCCCCAAGGAATCGGAGGATGCCCACCCACGACGGGGAGGGTCATCTGCTTTATTCAGTTCACCAAATCAAATGCCAGTCTCTTCTAGAAACATCCTCACAGACAAACCCAGAAATAATGTTTAGCAGCTATCTGGGCATCCCTTAGCCAGTCAAGTTGACACATAATATTCACCATCACAAGCATGTGGGGGGAGAACTGATAAGAACGTTCTTCATGTTTACACAGAAAATGAAGTGGTTTGCAGGTAGATATTAAAACTCCTCCTGACTGCAACATCCTTACTGGCCTGGAAAATAGCCACTAGCATTTTTTTTCTCCTCAAGAAGTCAATTTCAGGACTCTGAATTCCATTTTCAAATTTCTTGCTCAAAGGCTACCTTCTTATATAAATGCCTAGTAACTACATATTTTTAAAACTTCTGGCATTCCTTATTAATTTATAGGGTTGGAATAGTCAGTAAGAACAGTGATACACTGATGGGAAATATCTGTACTTTTCCAAATGTTGGCATGCTCATCAGGGATTTTGAATGGAGTTTGGGCTACAGTATATAAATTCAAAGGTATTAGCTTTCCAGTGTACTCGAAATTATCAAAAAATATCTGGGACACATGCTACAACATGGATGAATCTTTAAGATACTATGCTAAGTAAAATAATCAGACACAAAGGGACAAATATTGTATGATTCTACTTATATGAAGTATCTAAAGTAGTCAAATTCATGGAGTGGTGTAACTCACCTGAGTCATAGAGACAGAAAGGAGAATGGTATTGCCAGGGGCTGGGAGGAGGGGGAAGTGGGGACTTACTGTTCAATGAGTTGCACTTTGGGAAAATGAAAAGGTTCTGAAGATGGATGGTGGTGATGGTTGCACAACAATGTATACTTAATGCCATTGAACTGCACACTTAAAAATGGTTAAATGGTGAATTTTATGTTGAGCACAGTTTATAATAATACTAATAAGGATAAGGATATAATCATGGGTATAAAAGGGTTTCTCTGGAAAGTAACCTCCTGGGGTGATCTAATAATAAATTCCCAACTGGGCAGGCCATTATGTGGCAGCCATGCCCAGGCATAACTTCTTTATTAAGGGCTGA